GGGTGGAGCAAGTTTTTATGGGGTACAGAAAACAAGAAGGGGAGGAGGGTATGAGTACACTTTTGATTGGTGGTTGGTGATTTCATTAGTAAAGGAGGATTTGGATTGGTACAGGTGAGGGGTGGGGGAAGGCAGCTGGGAGTGGCTTTGCAGGTTTTACTGGCAGGGGTTGGGGCGGAGGGGCTAGGAATGGAGTTTGTGTAGTAAACAGTGGGGCTTATGTAGTAAACAACTAGGAATGGGGCTTGTGCAGTAAACCACAAAATGGAGCTAGTCTGGCCCTCTCACATATACCACAGTTTATTGATCCATTCATGGATTACTGGGCACTTGGGCTTCTTCTATGACCTGCAATTATGAATTGGGCTGCAATAAACATTCTGATACAAATATTTTTGTTGTAATGTGGTTTTTGGTCTTCTGGATATATACTTAATAAAGGAATTGCAGGATCAAATGGCAGGTCTTACTGATGGTTGTAAATCACTGCCATCTCTCTTGACAAGAAGTCCCACAAGTTAACCTGTAATTTTAGAGCCGTGGTTCTCAACCTTCCTAATACCATAACCCTTTAGTACAATTCCTGTGGATCATCACTCACAGGTTGAGAGCCGCTGCTTTAGAGTCTGGGCTTTAATCAAACACAAAGACCAAACAGAGGTGCATTCCCTAAAAAATTCCACCACCATTGTTGGGTATATTGAATAACATTAAAAGTTCATGCTGGTTACCCCTTGCTTTTTTCCAAATTTCAAGTCAATTTTTTCTTAACAGAATCACAGATGGGTGAGGGCAGACCCCTTCACTGGGCCCCATTCCCAGAGCCAGACAGCACCATGACTGCACCGCCCAGGCCCCACCAGGAGAGTCAGCAGTGGAGGATACTGAGGACTTGGAGAGCCCCCTGCAGACCACACACTCTAAGGGCTCCCCAGTTTGGATGACTGTCTATCCTTGACACTTTTGCAGACACTACAAATGCATCTAATGGTCTAAATCAATGATTTCCAACTGGTGTTGGAAGGATCTTAGGTGTGCCATAAAAATTTTGAAAGATTGTTAATTATATTATTTTTGAAAGAAGTTCAAAGCAAAGTACATTCCATTATTTACTTTTTTTTTAAATCAACATGATTTAAATGTGCCAAAGAAGTGTAATTATAGATTCAAGTGTGCCAGGAGATTAAAAAAGGGTGGAAAACACAGCTCTAAATGCACCAACCACCTAGAAGGGGCAGGGCCTTCCTCACATGCACATGGGAAATTACTCACAGGCCCATCCTGCTGCCTTCGAGGCCACTGTGCTTCTGGGAGGCAGGCAGTCCTGATGCTGTCCCAGGTCATGATGAGCACATAGGGGTTAAGTCAGGTGGCAAAGGCCCGACACATAAGAACCAGCTGAGCTGAGCAGAGCTCATGTCTTCTAACTCCAGGACCACTCCACTCTCTGCACAGTCCACTGGCCCTTCCCCAGGGCTGTGACCATGACCTGTGAGCTGCTGCTGTCCACATGGTCCCAAGGGAGCCAACCTGGTCATGCCAGGGTCCTGTCCCAAGACCTCATTTCCCACCAGGCTGTGGGGTTGACTGGTGGGCGGGCCATGCACCCACAAGGGTGAGGACAGAGCAGAGGTCTCAGACTCCCTGCCAGTCCTGAGACCTTATGGCATCCAAGCCCACGAGAACTGGATGGCTGGTCTGGTTGTTCCTCTTTCCAAGTTCTATGGCGTCTTGTGCCCCAGGCCCAGACAACACTGGCACCCAGGGGTCCAAGGTGGGTCTTTAAGATAATCAAGAAAAGCCACAGGTCCTGCAATGGATTCCTCTCTGGGAAAGGGCAGGGAAAGTCCGTGTGTTTGTGAGTGCATGTGTGCGCGCACCTGTACACATGTATACATGTGACATCTTAGCAAAAAGGACCTTAAATGCCAGATTGCGGAAGTGAGGCCTGCCGTGCATTTCATCTCAGTTGGGCTGTGTTTACAGAGAGCATAAATGAAAGGAAAGCAATTAAGAAAAATAGAAAGGGATAAAGTTAAATAAAACATTAATATAAATGCAAGTGTGCTTAGCAATAGATGTGTGCATACAAAGGCATGTCTCTGAATCCAGCACAGGCGGAGGCCTCTCCTCCTCATCCAGGATCTCACATTCAGTCTAGTGCTTGCTTTCTCCAGATATCTGGGACCTTGTGGTCCCCGCCCAGCTGTCCATAAGGAAAGACAATTCTGAGATGTTTTCCTAAAAATGCCATCTTTCCTAAGACATTTCCACATGTCTACCAAAGAAGAGCCACAAGGGGCTAAGTGTTGATCTGGCTCCTGCCAGCCCCTCGAAGGCTGGGTCTCCCTGTGTCCACTCTTCCTTGAGGATCACCATGACATATGTTTGGGGGCTCATTCTTGATGGAGACCTCCTAGCCCACAGGAAGGAATAGCGTTCAATCAGGATACATGCACTAAACTCAAGGCATGTAAAACAAAGCCTCAGAGCCCAGTCCTGGTCCTGTAGGTGGGCAGGGGTCTTGAGAAGAGAGACTAGAATAGAATGGGCGCCTCACCAGAGGAAAGCAAGGTGGGCCCCGTAATAGTGGGATGGGAAGAAAAGAGCCACCGGCAGGGGCTTCCAGGGAAGAAATAGCCGAGGAAAAGCCCACTCATCCATGTGACTCCAATAGGAGTCTCCAGCCACAAAACACTGTTGGCTGGAAAAGAAACTGCCTTTGAGCTTCAGGACCTCATCCCATCTGGGGCAGGAATGTTGAAATCCCTGCCAACCTGCTTGGGTACATTTGAAATACAACTGGTCTCCTGAATCCTACTCAACACTATATTTAAAATAGATGCATCTAATTTTTAAAATATTTAATTGTAATAAAATGTATATAACAAAATTTATCATTGTAACCATTTTTAAGTGCACAGTGCAGGGTGTTGTCTGTTCACATTGTCATGCGTCCAGTCCCCAGCACAAGTCATCCTGCAGGGCAGAAGCTCTAGCCATCAAACTCTCCCCACCAGACACACCATCTGTAATCAACACTTCCTTCCAGAGGCGTCAACCTCCTGCTGTTGCTCCTGCTACTTCCTTCTCCAAATCCCTCTTCAGATACCTGCTCAGGCTGCAGAACCAGTGTTAGGAAAGGAGCAGAGCTGCAGGGCTCTGGGCCCTCTCTCACCCCACCCAGGGCTCTGGGCCCTCTCTCACCCCACCCAGGGCTCTGGGCCCCCTCTCACCCCACCCAGGGCTCTGGGCCCCCTCTCACCCCACCCAGGGCTCTGGGCCCCCTCTCAC